AAAAAAAAAAAAAAAAAAAAAAAAAAGAATTTGTTCAAATAGCAGGGTACACAAATAAGCTGGAATACTATGTAGTCATTACAAATATCATTGCTTTTGGGAACTGGAACACACTTATCTATAAGACAGGTGATTAAAAAAATTAGGAAGGACAGGTTCGTCCCTGGCGTTGGGCCCATTTCCTGGATTTCAGGCGCTCTTGTTTAGCACTGGATAAAGTAATAACCAAGTGTGACTACACTTGCCCATCTATTTTCAAGCAAATGATACTTCTAAAGTAAGGTCTGTTGTCTTAATTTGGGAAAGGCAAAGGCAGTTGGACAAAAGCATGCCTTTCATGAGCAGTGACAGCTACAACTTAAAACAGGTAAGCACAAGAGCATATGAAACAGCACAAAGCAAATTTTACATTTTCTTTACTGGTTATCATCCAACTTTCAAATTTTAGCTCTAAGCGACCCATGACCTCATCCATACACCTTTTTGTTGTGTTTTGCTTTCTTTTGCATATACCCATTTTTCATAACCAGAAGAAGACTAGATTCTGATGTCCCTCTAATTGGGTATTTCCTTGGAACAGTCTGGTTTAATGGCCCAGTGGTCAGACTTAGGAAGATGCTGTCTTGAGTTTCAAGTCTAGTTCTGCAACTTAATAGTTTTCTGACCTTCAGTGAGTTACTTAACTTCGTGGCCTCTGGACTAGTTTCCTTATTTGTGAAAAGGGACAATAATAGCTCCAACCTCACTGGGTTATTGTGATAGTAATCTCAGTTAATATATATGAACAATGTCTGATACGTAGTAAGTGATATATTAGTTTATTATTATGACGATTTACTGCTGCTGTTACTAACGTTTCAAGGTGTGTACAAAGAAAAAAAATAAATAGCACATTTCCTTGGCATATTCATTTTACTAACTACTTGAGGGAACTGTAAAAATCTTCTCATTGGAAATATTACGGAATCAAGTGTAAAGTTCAGGCTGGGCATGGTGGCTCACGCCTGTAATGCTACCACTCTGGGAGGCCGAGGTGGGAGGATCGCTCAAGGTCAGGAGTTCAAAACCAGCCTGAGCAAGAGCGAGATCCCATTTCTACTAAAAAATAGAAAGAAATGAGCTGCACAACTAAAAATATATAGAAAAAATGAGCCGGGCATGGTGGCACATGCCTGTAGTCCCAGCTACTCAGGAGGAGGCTGAGGCAGGAGGATTGCTTGAGCCCAGGAGTTTGAGGTTGCTGTGAGGGAGGCTGATGCCACGGCACTCACTCTAGCCTGGGCAACAGAGTGAGACTCTGTCTCAAAAAAAATAAATAAATAAAGTGTAAAAGTCACTGTGACACTCAAGTTAAATCACAAGCCTTCAAAGAAATGCCAAGCTCCTGGGAGCCACTCCAGGCTCTGCCGAAACCACGTGCTCAGGCTTGTCCTTTACTCTCCTCCCTGCTCGAGACTTTTCTAGAAGCTCTGCTGGCTGGGTCACCTGCTCAGTCACCACGTGGGCTGCCTCGCTGGGATCGTGGCACTGGTTGACGGCGTCACAGATCTCTTGACTGTTCACCATGAAGTTGATTCCGTCTGTGGTGAGGACCAGGAAGCTGTCGTCGGCATGATGGAGCTGCAGTCACAACCGAACAGACACGATTACAGACTAGACTCTGCTGGGGATCCTTGGGGCAAAGGTGCGGCTGAGACGAGCGCGCAGAGGCAAATGGAAAATTGTAAGTCTATGATTAGAGCGCAAAAAGTAGCAACATGTAGTACTAAGCAAAAATGATAAACCTGACACTTCTTTTTTTTTTTTTGAGACAGAGTCTCACTCTGTCACCCGGGCTAGAGTGCCGTGGCCGTCAGCCTCGCTCACAGCAACCTCCTACTCCTGGGGGCTCAAGCGATCCTCGCTGCCTCAGCCTCCCCAGTAGCTGGGACTACAGGCATGCGCCACCATGCCCGGCTCATTTTTCTATTTTTGGTAGAAATGGGGTCTAGCTCTTGCTTAGGCTGGTCTCAAACTGCTAACTTCAAGCAATCCTCTTGCCTCAGCCTCCCAAGTAGCTGGGAGTACAGCTGGGACTACATGTGCGCCACCATGCCCGGCTAAGATTTTCTATATATTTTTAGTTGGCCAATTCATTTCTTTCTATTTTTTAGTAGAGAAGGGGGTCTCGATCTTGCTCAGGCTGGTTTTGAACTCCTGACCTTGAGCGATCCTCCCGCCGGCTCCAGAGTACTAGGATTACAGGCGTGAGCCACTGCGCCCGGCCTAACACTTTTTTAGTAACACCACAGAGGAAGAAGCCAGATGGATGAATGCTGAGACGTAGCACGATGTCATAGTTCAGTGTACTCTCTCTGGGCCGGGCGCGGTGGCTCACGTCTGTGATCCTAGCACTCTGGAGGCCGAGGCTGGAGGATTATTTGAGCTCAGGAGTTAGAGACCAGCCTGAGCAAGAGCGAGACGCTGTCTCTACTAAAAATAGAAATTAGCAGGACCAACTAAAAATATATACAAAAATGGAGCCGGTGGGTGCGCATGCCTGTAGTCCCAGCTACCGGGAGGCTGAGGCAGGAGATCGCTTGAGCCAGGAGTTGGAGGTTGCTGTGAGCGAGGCTGACGCCACAGCACTCTAGCCTGGGCAACAGAGTGAGACTCTGTCTCAAAAAAATAAAAAAAAAAGAGTGCTCTCTCTGGAGCCAGGCTTCTAGGGTTTGAATCTTGCTTCTGTTATTTGGCTGAGTGACCAAAGGTAAGTTGACCTCTATATGCTTTAGATTTGTTTTCCTTGTAAAATGGGGAAAGTGGCACCTATTTGGAACAGAACTTGGGACATAGTAAACCCTCTGTATGTATTTGTTAGATAAAACGAATATAAGTGGGCTATGTATAAGACACAAAACCCTTCATGCAATTAATTAACAAATGTTGCCAGGCACGGTGGCTCACACCTGTCATCCTAGCACTCTGGGAGGCCGAGGCGGGAGGATCACTCGAGGTCAGGAGTTCAAAACCAGCCTGAGCAAGAGCAAGACCCCATCTAGCAAAAAATAGAAAGGAAATCAATTGGCCAACTAAAAATATAGAAAAAATGAGCAGGCATGGTGGCGCATGCCTGTTGTCCCAGCTACTCGGGAGGCTGAGGCAAGGATCGCTTGAGCCCAGGAGTTGGAGGTTGCTGTGAGCGATGGTGACACTATGGCACTCACTCTAGCCTGGGCAACAAAGCAGACTCTGTCTCAAAAAAAAAAAAAAAAAAAAATACATAGAAAAAAAAAAATGACCGGCATGTGGCACATGCCTGTAGTCCTAGCTACTCGGGAGGCTGAGGAGGAGGATCGCTTGAGCCCCAGAGTTGGTTGGAGGTTGCTGTGCTGAGCGAGGCTGACGCCAGACATTCTAGCCTGGGCGACAGAGCGGACTCTGTCACGAAGAAAACAAAAAACAAAAAACCAGTGTTTTGCGCCAGTACTGGAGCCTAGGCTATACTATGCGAGTACCTACTACCGTCGACTTGGAGGATTCAGAGAAGGAGAGGTCAGCTCAAAGGCTGGGTGTGTGTTGGGCAGCTTAGGTAATGGTGGCACTGGTTAGTAGCATGCAAGGATGCCACAGAAATAGAGTGGCGATTATTTAGCTCTTGGTGGATGAGGAAGTCAAGGGCAGCTTCCAATCAGAGGTGACACCGGTAACAGTGAGGTGAGGTACAGAGCCATTGCACCAGGAGAATGCGACAGCTGGGGTGAAACACACCAAACACTTCTCAAACTTTAGGCCACAAAAGTAGCATCTTTTCTCTAAAGAGTTTTATTATCCTTTTTGTAAGTAACTCCCTGTTAAAATCATTTTGGGGCCAGGGCGCTGGTCACGCCTGTAATCACAGCACTCGACGAGGGCCGAGGGGGAGGATCGCTCCGAGCGAGGAGTTCGAAACCTGCCTGGAGAAAGAGCAAGCCCCGTTCTAAAAATAGAAAGAAATTAATTGCCAACTAAAAATATAACAGAAAATGAGTGGGCATTGTGGCGCGGGTGAGCGGAGCTACCGGAGTGAGCAGGATCGCTTGAGGCCAGGAGTTGGAGGTTGCTGTGAGCGAGGCTGACGCCACGGCACTCACTCTGGCCTGGGGAACAGAGTGAGACTCTGTCTCAAAGAAAAAGAAAAAAAAAAATCATTTTGGATTTAGTTAAGGCTTCCATGAAACCCTGCAGCTAGAGAGGAGCCTAAATTCATAAATTCCTTCTCTGCATGTGGATCAAGCGTTCGCAGGTGTGTCTTACCTTAATCCTCTTTGTTTCAGGCTCTGCTATCACCCCGCTGGATTTAAGATCCAAATCGCCAATACTCCTTGTCATTGCGAGTCTGCCATTCACGTGAGGCTGCCCCAAACTATTCCAAGCTATAAAGCCACCGCATTTCTTGATCCTGGTCAAGAAAAAAGGAAAAGACAAATGGAGTGATATGCAGAAAACCAAGTCACTGTTAAAACGTAAGCATGAGGCCAGGCGCGGTGGCTCACGCCTGTAATCCTAGCACTCTGGGAGGCCGAGGTGGGAGGATCGCTCGAGGTCAGGAGTTCGAGACCAGCCTGAGCAAGAGCGAGACCCCGTCTCTACTATAAATAGAAAGAAATTAATTGGCCAACTAATATATATAGAAAAAAATAGCCGGGCATGGTGGCACATGCCTGTAGTCCCAGCTACTCGGGAGGCTGAGGCAGGAGGATCGCTTGAGCCCAGGAGTTGGAGGTTGCTGTGAGCAAGGCTGATGCCACGGCAGTCACTCTAGCCTGGGCAACAAAGTGAGACTCTGTCTCAAAATAAAATAAAATGCAAAATTTTATTTTTTATCATGAACTAAAAATAGAAACATCGTCCCCGTAGAAGGATTTCTTCATACCTTTCTTTTTCATCTTTTCTTTCTGGAGTATGGTCAGTGGTCAGCTTCATGGGTTTTCCTTTTCTGCACAAAATAGCCCGGCTGTCCCCGACACTGGCGACGACCAGTTCAATGCCATCTCGCAACAGGGCTACTGTTGCCGTAGTCCCCGAGGTCAGGAGCGTTGCTACAAATGTTATGAAAAAGAGTGCAAGTTAGTGGCAGTCAGAGGATTGGCCGTGGAGTTTTTCTTGCACAATAAAATACAAGCATGATAATCTAACGCTGAATTTAACTAGAGCTATGCAAAGAAAATGCAGATGAACTATGTAACAGCATGCAAGGAAACAAGAGTTTAATTCTGTAACAAGGCTCCATGCAAACGGAAAAGGTTGCTAACCTAATCTGGTAAGCAATGCATCCCTGTCTCCAAATGGCCTCTATTTATATCAAATAGAGCTGACTTGAACTTATAATGACACCTTTGAGTGTATGTATGGGGTCAAGACTAAAAGTATTTTTTTTTTTTTTGAGACAGTCTCACTCTGTTGCCCAGGCTAGAGTGCTGTGGCATCAGCCTCGCTCACAGCAACCTCCAACTCCTGGCCTCAAGCGATCCTCCTGCCTCAGCCTCCCAAGTAGCTGGGACTACAGGCATGTGCCACCATGCCCAGCTAATATTTTCTATGTGTATATATTTTTAGTTTGCCAATTACTATCTTTCTATTTTTAGTAGAGACGGGGGCCTCGCTCTTGCTCAGGCTGGTTTCGAACTCCTGACCTTGAGTGATCCTCCCACCTCAGCCTCCCAGAGTGCTAGGATTACAGGTGTGAGCCACCACGCCTGGCCAAGACTAAAAGCATTAAAATTTACTTAGACTAATTATTATGGCCGGATGACTTAGGTCTATGGAGCCCTTTAGGTAGCTGACTTCTCTGTAATCTATAAATTTAGGTTTTCTCTTCCACTTCTTCGCTCTGTCTTGTGAAAATATTGTCAGTTAACAGGCCAAGGACATACTCTTTGCTCTTCAAGTACTATATTTTCATGTATTCTTTTCTTCTACAACTCTTTTTAGTTTTACAAATGTTCACCAAAAAGTCTAAAATGGTCAAAGGCTCTCACTTTTTTTCTGTTTATCTTTGTCTTCCCTAAGGCATGAAACAAAGTTACGGCCATCATTATTATTAGCTGAAACTTTGTAGGATGGGGAATGAAATTCATTCTATTAGTAGTTTCTCATAAACTTGGTGGAGTTAACACTCTTGGTTCCAGAAAGATCTAAGACAAAGAGTCTGTGTCCAAAGGCAGGGCAGTACTGCCAGCAGCTGCTCCTGTAGTCCCGCCTGGGCCCAGAACAGTTCCAGAATCTTCCTTTTCTCTGACTAATAACAAATGAAATTCAATATTACTGGGCATGAAGTATTTGCTCCATGCAAGTCAAATTGCATTTTTGCATCTTCCTTTGATTTGAACAGAATCTGTCCTAAGTACTTTCTTTACCTTACCACTTGCTGAAAATTTTTAAGGTGCATTGAGCCTTGCCCAAAATGAAAATATTATGAAATTATGGGATAAAAAATAAAGCAAAGTAGAAGAAATTGAAAAAGAGTTAAAGCAGGTATCTTCTCTAGTTACGTTGTTAATTCTTTAAAACACCTAAAATAAAATATTCGGGTTGGATGAGCTCCATAGCTAAGTGGTTAGAGCACTGGTCTTGTAAAATATTCAGGTGATCATCCAAAGATGATTTCGAATTTATTTCAAGTGAAGTGCTATTTATTGATTTGACTCAATCTTTCCAAGCATTTTTTTTTTTAAAGACAATTTTAATGCTTTGGAAGGAAATATATACATATATAGATTTTCCAATCAGTATATTAAAATGCCTGCTTTAATCAGTAACGTAAAATGGAAAAACATGGACAAACTCTACTTAATCTTTTATAGCCATGCTGAATTTACTTTCTTGAGAAATAGCATTTGTAGTTATATTATCTTCCCATTTATCTCTTGATTTTGGAACTGTCATGCCAAAGTAATAATCTCTCCTCAATGCTGAAATATGTATATAACATAATGTTTTAGCATTAAGTATCCATGATACTTATATTATATATTTTTTCTTTGTCTTCTTTTTTCTGTCTCTGCCCTTGATTCAGGATATATGACAAATATTAACTCTTAACTTTACTCAAATGACTTACGATAATGTAATCTTTATAGTCATAACATTTTCAAATGATTTAAAGAGTTAGGCAAGAAAACACAGGCATTTATTCAACTGATGCTGCCTGTCTCTCCCTCTGTTTAAATTGTCACCAATAGCTTTTTTAAAAAGTGGCTTATAACTGGCCACAACCAAAGTGTTAAAATTTCACGAGTGAAAGTTTAGTTGTTTAGGTTAATCATTCATGGCTCTGCCATGTCAGAATTTTAAAGACCTTGATTTTTTTTTGTTTTTTTTACCAACCCAACTTTGCAGTTCCAAAATTCCAGGATTTATGGGAAAGGTTTCCAAACTAGCTGTCGATTCTGGTTTGCTAAAGCATCTAGTAATATAGACATTAAATCAGCATTTGCTTTCATTTAACATTTATGAGTAACATGGAAGTAAAACTTCTCACTTTCTGCCCTAGGTACAAAACTATAAAAGTAAGATATCTTTCAATAAGTTCTTAACACTCACTGGACAATTTCTACTGCAAGTCATCTCAACTAAAGGGACAGAGAGGATGAGGGAACCTTCCAGTAGTCCAGGCTAGGTACCGCTGGACTCCTTCACGTGGGGCAAAATTAAGCAGATCTCTGTGTCCACTTAAGCCCAGAATATAGTGTCCACGGGCTCCAGGTCTCAGAGCTGCTGACCGGGCACCGTTCTCTGCCACAAATAACACGCACAGAGGCAAATAGGAAATTCACCCAGGAATTGTGCTCAAACATTACCAACCTGCAACACAGGGGAGAGCAGAGAAAGAGCTGCAAAATAAGGGGAATCGTTTTTATTTTTGGTGAAAAAAATCTCACTAGCAAATTACAAAATATTCCAGGAGATGCCAGATCCGTGATTGTAAAACTCGATTTGCTCTAGTTGATGGTATTTTGTAGTTGAGTTGACTTTTTTTTTTTAAATCAGAGTAACTCTTCTTTCTTGGTTTTATGCCTTCCAAGGTAGGATAAAACTATGCACAAATATATCTGTACCAAAATACTTAAGCATTCACACACACACACACACACACACTCTCTCTCTCTCTTTCTTACACACAGACATCCATACATACTCAAACAGTTGCTCTTAAACACAGCAAATCAGAACCCACACTGAGTTGAAAAACATGCACTGTCAATTGGGCTGCAATAGCAGAATTGTTACCCAATAACAAAAGGGTAACTGCATGGTGACAGCGCCGAATGATCTGTACCTGACACGCAGTACACAGGCCTAGAGAGTGGGCACTACAGCACACCGCCAAACTCCTGGGACTTAAATATATACCAAGAAGGAATCAAAGCACCTCCTCCACCAGATACAAGGAGTAAACACATTTGTTCACCCCGCTTAATGCAGAGATTTAGCATCTAGAAGGCATTTTTTTGAGTTGAATGATTAGATGCATTGTTTAAATTAAAGCTAATTAATAAGGCCCCTGAGCGCTAATGCGTGTTTATAATGTTGCATAATTCACGAAACAGGCATTTCTGCAGCTCTTTCTTTCCCTCGTGTTGCAGGTGGACACATGGAAGAAAAAATGATCAAGACTGTGGATGGCAACCATTTAAGACTCAAAGCTGTACTTTTCAAGTATAACAGACCCTTGGTAATTATTCAGCTGTGCAAATGATCATATGTAATACGACAGATACAGTTTCAAAATTGATTAAAAATGGGCGTTCTAGACATGAATGGCTCATGAACACCAAAACCAAAAGTACTGAGCTGAAGCAGTAACAGTCACAATAAGAGCATCTCTTCACGCTGTCCCTATTTTTTTTTTTGCTTGCTCCCAGTATAGAACATAAATCCTCTTCTTTAAAAAACGCTGCTTTAATGATGCTTGTATTTGCTACAAGTCTACCCACTAACCCAAGAATAAGTACTTTAATACTTGTAGTAAAAAAAAAAAATGCTGCATTTATAGCCCTTGGTTATTTTGCAGTCCTAAGTCTCCCATAAAGAAATCACATCTACCCATGTGTTTGAAAGAATGCATGAAGGAAAAACAAAAGAAATCACAAAATATGAAGAGTATGGAAATTTCCTATAGAATTCATGATGCCATCAGTGTTCTCCACTCTGAACTTGAGAGCAAGTCCTTCTCTTTTTGATGCAATTTATCCCTTTTAGAGCTTTGTGGCTTTCAAAGCTTGGCAATCTTAAGATTTGAGAGTTTACAGAATATATAGGATTAATAATCTGCTTTTTTCTACCACCTAGTTTGTTCTAAGGACTGTTTATAAACAATAGACTGATGGGAC